CCCTTACCGCAGTTCTGGAGGGAGAGCAGGGGGTGGTCAGTGGGCAGCGGCTCCGGCGTCGTGACGTCCAAGCCTGCTGCTGCGATCTGGCCGTGGGCCAGCGCGTTGTACAGGTCCTCCTGGTTCACCACGGCCCCCCTGGCACACACAGAGGGAGAGGCTTGTGCTGCTGCCAAGGGGTCCTGTTGGCTCCCAGGGGCATGTGGCCAAGGCATGGGCCATGCAGGACAGCCTGGGCGGTGGCACCTGGGTCCCCAGGCCCACCTGAGCAAAGGTCAGAACCCCTCTGGATATGCCTGAGCCTCCCAGCGTGACAAGCTGCCCCTGCTCCTGCCCTGCTCCAGGCCACGTGCCAGCATGGAGAAGAGCCTGGCGCCCGAGCGCAGGCAGTCATTGGGAGGCTTCCACCAGACTCAGCAAAACAGCCCTGTCACAGCTGCCTCTGTCCTAAGAACCAGGCTCTGGCAGTGACAGCTCTCTCCTGGGCAATCCCTCAGCCTCATCCCCTCTTCACCCATCCACCGTCCATCCACCCCACTGGGGCAGGACACAGGGCCCCGGGACGAGACAGAGGCTGTAGCTGCCCGAACAACTTATCCTGCCTTTCACTGACTCAGCAAAACAGCCCTGTCACAGCTGCCTCTGTCCTAAGAACCAGGCTCTGGCAGTGACAGCTCTCTCCTGGGCAATCCCTCAGCCTCATCCCCTCTTCACCCATCCACCGTCCATCCACCCCACTGGGGCAGGACACAGGGCCCCGGGACGAGACAGAGGCTGTAGCTGCCCGAACAACTTATCCTGCCTTTCACTGGATCCCCAGACACCTCAGGCTGGAGGGAGCAGGACACACGCTGAGCAAACAGTCATGGCAGCTGCAGTCGTGAAGGCTGCACGTGCTGCCTGGACTCCCAGAGGAAGAACCTCACAGCCCACTGCATCCCCCCCACAACCACAGCCGTGCTGGAGACTGGGCTGCGACTACCTGCTTGTGTTGATGAACACAGACGTCTTCTTCATTCTGCTGAAGAAGTCCTTGTTGCACATTTCCTGGGTGGCTGGAGTCAAGGCACATGTCACCACAACAAAGTCGGACTCTTCAGCCAGCCTCGTGAGTGGGACTGAGTGGAGAAACACAGGTCATGGCTCTGCTCAGGGACCTCACCAACACAGCTTAGCAACCCTCTTATCCCCAGGTTCCGCTAGCAAGTGATTGCTGTTCTGGAGAGACCTGGTTGACACTTCTCCACAGATAGGGACACAAGGACAACCAAACACCAAACAGAAACCACACACATTCCTATAGGCACTACTGTAGTGTTTTGTTTCACTTTTAAATTAAAATCAAGCCAAAGGGCAACCTAGTGATGCTTCAGCCATCTGGCCCAAAGGAGGCTCTGGTATGTATTTTACATTTAGACACCAAAATACGGCAGCAGCAGTTTATACCAGCAGTAAATCTCTCCATATGTTACTCCCAGATAACGACTTGTGCCAATTCCACTCCTGGAGGTGAGGAGAGAAAGCACAAAGAGCAGGACAAGGTCTGCTAATGGTTTTGTACAAAAAAGTACCAACTGGAAATGTGCGTGGCTTTGGATTGAAAAAGTGGCACTTGATGCAAGTCTCAGGACTCTCACAGGCCCACAGAAAAGTCCCATTCAGCAGCTAAGAGACATTCTCAGGCTGGGCTGATATTCATTTTAAAGCAGGAGGTTAAAGCTGATGTTTCCAGCAACCAGTCTGCTTCATCCCATCCCCTCCTCCCTGTAGGATGTCTCGGTACTCATCCCATGAAGGGTGGCCCACAAGAACCTTCCCCTCCTCCTAGGGGCAGGGCCCCCCCCGCCACTCTCCCCTCTCTGTTGCTTATGTTCCGCTTCCTTGTGGGAATGAAACTAACTGGAAATCACAAATGGATGGACACAGGGGGATGATGAAAGGTAAAAGCTGCAGAACAACCACAGTCCATGATTATGGTGGGTGGTCAGGTAGAGCCCAGGTGTATCCAGCCTTCTGGAGGCAGGTTTCCCTCCCTGCCACCACCACCACATGGGAAGGGTTTGGGATTCACCATTCCTTCCTTTGGTGCCTCTGCAGCGGTTCCACCCGCTACACCGAGGAGATGCCCAGAGCCTCGAGCTTGTGTTCCCCCTCTGCTGACCCACCCCTGCAGGGTGACACCTGCCCAGAGCCATCCCAGCCATAGTGCTCCATCCCGCCCTGCAGCACATGACTGACCACCATCCCTGCTCCTGGCGCCTTTCTTACCGAATTCAGCTTCAAACTCTGCAGCACTCTCTGGTTTCGGGCGACTGCCGGTGTATAAAAACTTCTTGACCCCAAACGGCTTGAGGCGGCGGGCAACTGCCTGTCCTAGGAGCAAGAGAGAAGACCATCCAGCCGCTGCGCCGGCACGAGGCGGGCCGTAACGGCGAGCTGCAGGGGTCCATCAGGCTTCTCCAGGTGGCCCATCCTTCGGCAAGCTTGCACTTGGTGCAGCTGACAGTGCAGCAGCCAGCAGAACATGTCTCTTGCTAAAGGGCGGCTGTGGTGGGATTGCTCCTGCCAAGCTGCTTCCATGCCTGGAGCCTGGCAGGCGTGGGATGTGGGGTGGATGTCTTCTGCTGCTCCTCACGCAAGCAGGAATAAACTCCTCACCAGAGTGAAACTGTGGAAAGGGAGCTGTGGGACATTAAACCTCAAGCTATCCGAACTGAAAAGTGAGGAAAGAAATAGCCACCTGCTGACTAAGTCCAGAACTGAACGGATACCGAGCACGTCATCTTGGACTTTGTCAGGGCATTTGTTTAACTTAAAAATCAAGAGGACAACGTCCAGTTTGCTGTAGCATTCAGATGTAGTAGATCCGTTTGAATGTTTAAACTTTAAGGTTTAGGCCTGATGAGTCAAGATTGCTGTTCAGAGAGGCTCTACCCAGCTCTCCTTGTTGTCCTGAGAGATTTTAAAGAGGTGAGCATTGGGGACACCACCTCGGCTGAACCTCCAAAACCAGTCTGCCACCACTGGGGACTGTCCTGGTTTTTAGCTGAAACAGAGCTGGGTTTCTTGTGCCTGGCCTGCACTTACCTATTCTCCCCAGACCTATGATGCCCACCGTACTATCAGACAGACCATAGCCACACATCCACAAGGGCTTCCATGTTGTCCAGCCACCACTAGCAGAGAGAGCAAGATAGAAACAGATGTCAGAGAGCAGCAGGGGAGAGCCTGCTCACTCAGAGCCCAGCCCAGCACTCGAGCAGATGCACCAGTGTACAATGGAGTGGGCAGCCACAGATGACCCTACAAACAGCCTCTCTTAAGTTCCTGCTTCAAGTGACCTCAGTGGTCTCCAGCAGAAAGCTACTTGGACCTCGGGTCCACAGCAGCAGCAGCCTTGGGACTGACTTAATTAACCACAGCCCTGGAGCAACTGCCCATCAGAGAGCTCTGGCCAGACCTTCCATGTGTGTCCTCCTGGAGGGGCCTGTGGTGGCCTTGGGTGCCGTGTCCTGCAGGTCCATGACCTGGCATACGGAGAGGAGCTCTGCTCCTCTCACAGCCCCTGAGCAGCACATCTCCAGTCACAGAACTGCAGGGGATCCACCTTGGCCTGCGAGATGTTTGGCGCAAGCTGGGTGAAGCTCCGTCTTCAGCCCCGTTTAATCTGTCCAGTGTTGCTCGTTTTCTCCTGTGGCTCTCGACCT